GGCCGCGAGCGCTCATCTCCGGCCGGGCGGGCGTGGGGGCAGCGCCGGGGCGAGCCGCCGCCCCCGCCCCGCCGTCCGGGCCTCAGTGTAACTCCGCCAGACCTCGCTGCGCTGGTGGACAGCCTTTTATCCTTTGCAGCCCCTTGGGAAATGTCAAATGGAGGTGAACTGCGAGCGCGGGTTTCCCAGTCATCTGTCGCAGACCCCTTAGACATGTCTGCAGACCCTGGACCACAGGCGGAAAACCGCTGCCTTTGTGGCGCGGGGCAGAGGAACCTAAGGACTGCCATTGATCGAGTCAGGCCATAGACCCACCGCTTCATTGAAATCCTGGGAATGTTGCCCGGGATGACAGGAACCCTTGCATCCTTTCCCACCAGAGGAGCTGAACAAGCTGCTGCTGGGAGTCACCGTTGCTCAGGGAGGGGTCCTGGCCAAGGTCTCCGTGGTGCTGCTGCCTATGAAAACCAAGAGCCACAAAGCGAGGGCAAGTGAGGTCTGCAGATTCAGACCTAGGCTTAGAAATGTTCGTAACTCACAAACTTTCCTGCGTGGCCTCACCCAGTCCAGGACCTCACTGTCAACTTCCTCCTGGCCCTAGCCAAGCTCACAGTCTATTTGACCAAGAAGGAGGCTGTGGCCAGGGACCTCTGGGGATTTTGGGGCCCCTTTCTTGTCCCTTGACCATTTCCACCTCTGGGCAGTTTTTCTGAGTAGTGTCCACTGGCTCCTTGGACTCGTTCGAGGGCCAGTGTGCACTCTCCAGTGTGCTCTGCTTGGTGTCCCCACCTTGGTGCACTTGTTTTAAACCTTTGACCTTTGTCCCATACTTGTTTTCTTATCATTTATCCCAAGGAATTAGTGACATGTCCCTAGTGGCCAAGGGAGACTTACAGTTGTACTTGGTGGGTTTAGGCCTGTGATTTCCTAAAGGCATGTCAAAAAGCCTGTGAGGCCTCACCAAGTCCCAGCACCTCTTGGTCAACCACCTCCTGGCCCTAGCCATGCTCACCATCTGTTTGACCAGGAAGGTGGCTCTTGCCCAGCGGGGATCCCCAGGGAGTTCAGGGCCTCTTTCCTGTCACTTGTCTGTTCACATCTCTAGGCAGAGTTTCTGATTCAAGATCTGGTCATATACTAGGTGATCCACTTTCATTCACCAGATATAGCCTTAATATGATGACATGGGGAATAATAGATCCAGCAGTGTAATTAATGGAAGGTCTGAAGAAGAAACAAATGAAAAACAAAAATGAAAAAAAAAACAACAAATCAAGGGTGCAGGACTAATTTGTGGCATGCCTACCTGAAAGGTTGGCTCTCATTGCCTTAACACCTTATAGACCAGGGGCAGGCAATTATTTTGGGCAGAGGGCCACTTACTGAGTTTTGGCAAGCCATCGAGGGTCACGTGACAGGCAGCCCAGGGCAGATTAATATTAATTTTCTAAATTTTTTAGGGGCCCCGTGGGCCAGATAGAATGGCCTGGCAGGCCACGTCTGGCCCCTGGGCTGCATTTTGCCCGCCCCTGTTATAGACTCATGCTGCACTTGAGTGGTATGATCATGGGCAGCAGTGACAATACCAAGGGCCTTTATTTCAGTGCAGAGAGTAGAGCAGTAGGTGAGAAGATGAGAAACATTTTCTTGTCTTTTGCAGTGGATGCACACACAATATAATGCTTAAAAGATGCACTTTCATAAGGTTGCATGTGAGTGACATGCCCTGATTGTGTTCAACATGGAAGTAAATGACTGATTTTAAACAGATTTTACTAGAAGCTAGATTTGGTCCTTGTTAATATCAGCCACTGTTTTCTAATTTCCTATATGTAGACTTTTCATTAAGGTGCCTGAAATCTTGTTTTTTTAGTTGTATTGCTGCTTCTGTTCTCTAAGATTCATTGGCAACGGACCAGTTTGCATTAACATTCCCATGAGCGTATTTATGTTGATCTGCTGTGTTGGAGCAGGTAGGACTTGTGTTTACCTTGAAGCAAGCTGTGTCAGTCCAGGTCTTCTTTGTTCTGGTTCTGCGTGCTTATATTTAATTATATGTGGTTTATGTTTAATTATATATGGGTAATACAAAATATGAAGTTCTGTATTGGAATACAGTAAATAAATAGGCAGATAAATACCATATTTACTCAAATTCAAGATGAAGTTTTCCCCCCCATTCAATGCGGGGGGTGAGGGGGAATCCCTTCATCTTGTATTTGGTGGGGTGGCTGTGGCTCCAGTCCTGACCGGGGCTTGGGGAAAGTTAGAGCTTCAGCCACCGCCTCTGCCCCATGCTACCTGTCACTGCCCCTGACTGTGGGAGACAGGTCCCAGAGGCGGACCGCATCAAGAGCTGGAGCAGAGGTGGGGAGTATTGCTGGACCCAGAACTCGAAGGGGCCACAGGTTAAACTTTTCAGTAGCTGGATGCAGCCCATGGGCTACCAGTTGGACAGAGCTGGCTTGAGTCATTCAGCAGATCAGTGGCATGGCCAGGAGCAGAACCCATGCCTTCTGCCTACAAGTCCAGTACTCTGTCCTGTAGCTTCTGCCTCTTCCCTTCCCCAGAGCTTCAGCATGTAAAGAACAGAGGTCACTGCATTATTGTAAAGCACAGTTTCAATTTGAGACTAAGCAGTACTGGGCATGTATTTGGTGAATAAGATTTTGAGATTGCAGTTACTTTTCTTTTGTGTTCACCTTAGGTTGTTAAAGATAAGCTGTGGATTCCAGATGAGAGTGAATGCCTTGGAGTGAAAGGTAAGTATTCATTTTAACTGCCCTTCCAATTGTTTTAAACCTCCAAGTGCCTTAGAATCCTTTAAAAAAAAGTTTGCTTATAATAGTAACACAAACTAAATAATAAAAATACAGGTAATACAGAGGGGACAGTGGTGGATGCTAGGAAGCTGTAAGGAACTGCTGGTGCCAATCTTGCTGTTATTAATGTGACTTGCAATTTTGGGGTCACTGATGTCTATGTTATCAGATAATATCTGTGGATGGAAATGCCTTGTCACTTGTAGCTCTCCAGAGGAATTACGATTTTTTTCTCTCAGATGTAGATATAGCCATGATCCCTGATGCCTTTCCTAGCTGTGGGTAATACAAGTTGATGTAGCAGCAGCTGCTCCCTGGAGCTGCTCAGGCAAGGGCAGAATGTAATTACTCAACTTAAGCTATTTCATCCTTGTGCCTTATTTATAGCTGCATTCTCTGATAGCCAACCCACAGTTTGGGGAACAGCGAAGTGTAAGTTTTAATTAGCACTGGGCAAAATCATAGAAATGAGGGCTGGAAGGATACGCAAGAGATCAGGTAGTCTGATTTCCTAAACTGAGGCAAAACCAACTGTACTTATACCATCTGTGACAGACGTTTGTATAACCAAACGGTGATGGATGCATTAAAAGAATGTGAGATATTCACTTGCTACAGTTATATGTGCTGTAGAATGAAAGTACCTTTCGATAGTCACAAAACCCCTGACGGCTTAGGCTGCAGTGAGCCAGGATGCATATCTGTCAAGAAAGCTTAAGCAAAATCTAATGCGCTCTGAGGCATCCTGGATCTATATTCTGGAGTGAGATCCCCTGGGTTCTCTACAGCCTTTACTGTGGCTAATTCAGAAATTAGTTTTATTTAATTAAATTAAATATGAGCTCAAATAATGAAATCACAGTTAATCAGGTCTGTTCAATTTCCTTGACTTTTTTTTTTAAATATACATCCAATTTCCTGTTGCCCTCAGAGCTGCAATTTTCAATTTGTTACAATTTTTTTTATTTACTTCGCATAAGTGCTGAGACGGGAAGAAGCTGCTATCTGTAATAGTTTGTAGCTGGATTGAGGTAATTACAGATTTGGCACCTGAGAAGATGTGTGATGCAGCCTGAGATTTTTAGCAAATGGCATGGGTAGGGAGGCCGAGTCTTGAAGATTTTACCTCTTGGGTCTTCTTCCTTGTATTAAATTAGGAAGTAACTGTACCTTATAACAAGCACTGAACCACGTACTTAATTTTAAACAGAAGAGTAGTCTTGTTGAAATAAACCAGGCTACTAAAATGCTTAGACTTGAATATGTATGAGTTAACCTAGGCAGTAGAAGAGTCAAGCTGCTTGTACCTTACCCTGCCCCACACACTTTGCCCCCTGCTGCCTGTCCTGCCACCACTTGCCCCCACTGCTGCCTGTGGGCCCCAAAACCTGTCCCCCCCCGATGTTTGCCCTCCCAGCACTTGCCCTCTACCTGGTCCCCTTTGCTGCCTGCCCTCCCACTGTTTATCTTTGAGCTCTGGCAGGGCTCCAGCCTGTGGCATGAAGTACATGGTTGCTCTGAACCCAGTCTGGCATTGCAGCAGGTGTTGCAATGGCAGTAGTGCTATCTGGGTGCTGGGGCTGTGGCCACCTCCACTGCTGCTACCAGGCCAGGCTGGGGCCAGACCAAGCACCAGAGCCCTGCTGGAGCTCGAGCCAAAAGGATATGGATAAGTGGAGAGGAAACCAAGGGGTAGAGGGAGCAGGGGCAGGGAAAAAGGCAGGGGGGCAAGTGGGGGAACAAGTAGGATGGGCAGAGGCAGCTGTGGGGTGGGCCTCAGCTGCAGCTCCAATCTTAACTTTGGGTCAGAGATGGAGCTGCAACAGCTACCTGTTCCCCACTATCAACTTGTATGCAAATTCAGGATGAGGAGCTCCCTCTCCATCTTAAATGCTGAAAAAACCCTTGTCTTGGATTTGAGTAAATATGATTCTGAATCCTAATTCTGAAATTGGGAGGGTGGTAGAATATGCAGTAGTAGATTCTGTGCCAGTTACATACAAAGAGCCTAGTGGGTAAGAAAACTAAGGGGTGTCAAGCTCATATAGCTTCATGGATTGGGGCCACAGACCAGGTCTACATACTGGCTCCAGTGGACAGGGCTGGTCTGGTATGCATGCTGCATGTAGATATGCCCTGGGCTGGTCATGCTTGTTACTTGTAGCACACATGCCAGGCCCAGCCTTGAGTATCACATGCAGCATGCACTGACCTTGACCCTATACATGGCACGCAGCATGCGGGGTGGCTCTTGGGGCTGTACTGCACATGGCACGCAGGACTGATTTGGGTACGCAGTACATGTGGTGCTCCTGCCAGACTATTCCTGTGCACTGGATCAGGCTCATATGATTGGTGTATGGTCCTGATTGAGACCAGCCCCAGATCCAGCATTCAGAACTGGTCTGGTGTGGACATCTCAAGCAGTGTGCTCTCTGACTGTCATGTGCCTTGTACAATGCATGCCCCAGACTGGATCTTGTGCTGCGTGCAGTGTGTGTGCTGGCACCATGTGTAGCATGTATCTGATGGGTCCTGTACACAGCGTAGGCCTGGGTCCAGCGCATGCTACTTGTGGTGTGTAGGGCTAGTCTGAAACTCTCAGACATCACTGCTGCCTTGATGATTGGGCTCCTTAGGCTGAGTCTGGCCCGTGGGCTCTATTTTTGATGACTGTGGTCTAAAGGAAGTTGCTCGTGGAATTTAGGATTGGAAGGAGCCTTCCGGGATGTTGGGTCCAATCCTTTATGTTCACACACAATCATTTACTGAAGGGATTCCCAAAATTGCCATTTCAAACTCAAACACATAAGTATACCTGAAGTATTACAAATACCCAATGGCATGCAGCAGGTAAAAACATAGTTGACAGGGGCACTGTCATTTTAATTACAGAGAAGTAATTGGTTAATGTGGTAAGGGCTAACCTTTTTGGCAGGCCTGCCATGAATTAGCCCCACATCCTTCCCAAGTGCCACTCCAATCCCCTTCTGCTACCTAATCAGCTGCTCTGCTTTCTGTTCCCTGCCCTGTGATCCTTGCCTGATCTGCTGTTCTGTTTTCTGCTCCTTGCCCTTTCTGTGTGTGTTGCCTGTCCCCTCCCTGGTCTGTCATGTGCCGCACACAGAGGGTGCCCATGCCACTTGTGCCATGCGTACTGCAGGTTGTCCACCCTTGGGTTAGTGCTCAGAAGATCCTAGGAAAAGGACTACAGTCCCTTGCTACAGAGGAAGGAAAATCCCTGCAGACTGAGGTCAGGAAAATAATTATTTTCTGATCCCAGATATGGGAGTCAGTATGACCCTGAGCAGACGACCAAAACCCTTTAGCCAGGAACCTCTGAGTTTTCTAAGTACCAGCAGGAGCAACAAAATCCTAACTTTATTGAAGCAGTAAGCATTGAATTACCAGACAATACCTACACTGCAGGGTAGTCACCTTTGTACCACAAAATGGGGATTACACATACCAGGTTCCATACATCTCGCACGCTGATTGTTGAGCCAGAACTCCCTATCCTGTCATACTGTTCCTCTCATAAATGTATTCAGTTCTGTCTTAAGGTGATTCAGGTTCTTTGCTCCAACTGCTTTACTTGGAAGACTAACCAAAACATCACTTCTCTGATAGTTAAAAGTCTCACTCTGATATTTCATTTACATTTGTATATAGCCAATGTTTAGCTATTTGGTCTTATTCTGGTGGTGTTTTTAGCATAAAAAGTTATTTTTTCTTATATTCACCCATGCTTGTAAAAGGTGATCATACTCTCAATTTCTGTTCCTTCTTGTCTGTGGTGAAGATGTTCTGTCTAATGTATCCAAGGATTTCTTTAATTTTTTTCACTGCAGCATCAGTGTGACAGCTTATGTCCATCCTATCATCAACAGATGCACCTATACCTCTCTCCTCAATTATCTCCAGTCCATGCTCCCCTAGCTTACATCAAGAACATAGAGACATTCTTAGTAGAGCATCCTTGAATTTGGAAATGAATCTGAACCTACGAGTTGGATGTGGCTTTTACAATGCATTCTAACATGTATGCATTTATTTTTCTTGCTAATTGTAAGGTCTGGAATCCTTGTCACATACAGAAGTCGCATTGCTGCAAGGAATTGTCAAATATTTAACATTATTTGGAAGGGATGTTAATTGCTTCCATTCCAAGCCTGACACTGACAGGATGTTCACTTTTTATAGATTTGTAGCTTTTTGTAGATTTATAATAATTTGCCATGCAACTGCATGTTCAAAAAATGTCACACCCTCTGTTTTAATTTGAAGACATTCCTGTAGTTCATTTTCCACTTAGGTCAAGAAAGTTTTTAACCTGTAGCTTTGTTTGTAACCCATGATATGACCTATGTAATATTGAATTGGAGATTGTAAGGTTCATAATATGATGTGACCTTGCTCTCCCTCCCTTATACATATGTAGTCATATAGAAAACAGTTGCTACTGTATATTTTTGTCCAAGTACCTGTACAACAGCATGCCATAATTTTACTGTATGTAACTATTATGCATAGCATAATTGTGATTTTAGTTAAACAAGCATTCCAGTAACAGCATAATACTTTCATTGAGCATCACTGTGCCTGCTAAAATGCATCATATCTTTCTCACTTACACCCACAGCTTTGACTTTGAAACACGAAAAGCTAATGGTAACATTTGAAATTGAAATGCAGTAGTTTACTATCTTTGCATGTTCACTGTTGTGTGTAATTGAAAGGACTTTAAATTGTTTTTTGTATGGTGACTGCTTTTGAAGACAGAGATTAATTCAAAAGAAAATAACATAGTAAACAAATGTATTTTAAAAAACAATAATAGACAAGATAACTAAACAGTTTTGTGAATGTTGGGACTTGGGGTGGGGGATAAAGCAGACTTCAAGTTTCTCCACAGATTCATTATGTGTACCTCCTGAGCAAGGATTAAATATTATAATGCTTTAATTTTTGTCATTGTTTCTCAACCTTTTCAGATACAACGCATCCCTTAGACTCAAGGCTCCCCTTGAAAAATGCCAGCTTTTAGTTTTCAGTTGACTTACAGAGCAACTGTTCTGTTACAGAGAACTCAGAAAATCCACAGTAGTTCAGAATGTTTTTGATAACATGGATTCCTATTTGAAATCTCTGGATTTATCTTGTGAATCATGTTTGTACACCTACCAGAGCTAACACTGTATGGAGCCCCACAGCACCCTTAAAAGTATCTCAGGGCATGCCAGGTGCCATGATACCCTGATAGAGAATCACTGAGTTATTGTAAAGTGTCACAGGGCACTAAGGTGCCCTGCTCCTTTACAGAGCTGAAGCTGTCAGGGGAAGAGCCCTATCAGTGTGTTGGAAGCCCCAGCTGCTGGTTATTAGGGCAGCCAGAACGAGTGAGTGGCCCACACCTGCCAGTGGTCAGCTGACCAAGAAGGGCAGGACCTGGCTCATATATTAACACCAGGGCCAAGGCTAGGAAAGCAGTTCCCTGCTAGCAGCTAAGGGGGAAGGAGCTTTCCCAGAGCAAGCAAAGGAGGGAGGCCTGACTGTATGAGCAGCTCCTGATACTGTTGTGGGACTGATTATTCCCTGGTAGGTTTTGAATGATGTTATAGCTGGGCAGCTTGAATTTATGTTACAACCCAGGGGCTGTATTGCTTGCTGTTGTATAAGGCTGGTGGTTTGGGTGAGGCTATTAGGGGAAGGAGGAGGCCTCACAGGGGGAGCCCATGGCAGCATGGGGACCCCAGGCACTAGAGAGTGCGCAGTACTTTGCAGGGCTGTGAGGAACAGAGCGGGGTGGGGCTGTGAAGAGCCCAAGTGCCAGTGTGGTGTGGGACAGGGCCGCGGAGAGCCCAGAGAGGAAAAAGGGGCCAAATTGCAACAAGGCCCAGAACAAACAATGTTCTTGTTATCTGCGAGGCTTGAGGTGTAGTAAAGGGGTGGCTGGAGCCATACATCGCCCATAAGGCTAGGGTGCCCTGAAACACCTGTTGTGACATCTATCTTGGAGCGGGACCCACCAGGGGTTGGGAACACCTCCCCCTCACCCTAACTCTAACCCTAACCCTGCCCCCTGCCGGGTCTGGAGAATCAAGCAAGACTGTGTCTAAGAGGACTTTAAGGTAGCTTCCCTATCAATTATTCAATCAAAGACATGATGGGCAAGAATAGAGGGTGCCCACTGGGCCGACTTGACACGGTAAGGGGGCCTTGGGGAGATCACAGCCATCCTGTAGGACTCTATCCCATGGCATAAAGTAATCTGTAATTTGTATACAGATAGTGTCTGCACAGTTAGTATGAGATGTCTTGTGATGCAGGGGTATGTGCCATGATTTGGCACCCTAGACTGCTGAGTTATTATAAAACTGTTTAAATTCTTCTCTGCTTTGTTTTTGTGACCAATCATTGCCTTTATCTCATCTTTCCCTATCAAAAATGTGACCCACTATATATTTGTGTTGTACATCCCTACCTAATGATAATACCTAAAGGATTGTCAACGGTGCCTGTAGGAACTGATTCTTTTACTCAAGTGGTACTCAAGCTGTTTAGCTTGGAAGTCCCAGTTTCAGGCCCTGGTGATGGGCAATAATCAGTCCTTACAGATTTGTCACAGATACTACAGAGACTGCAAACAGCTAACAGCATCTCTTCTTAAAGTAGTGATGCAGCACGTTAATTACAATAGGAATTGTATTAAGTATTAATACTGTATTAAGTAAAATACTTAATACTGTATTAAGTAAAGCACAAACAGGATGCAATCTGTATGAGTCACTCCGCTTTGGGGTAAAGTTACTCCTCTGAAAGTGAAGCATAGTTGTATACTTCTGCAAGTTACTTCAGTGTGCTAGATGTGCTTTTCTCCCTGTGAAATGCACGCCAGCTCTGTCATTACTATATCACTCCGTAGTAATCATGTGGTATCTCCTTATTTATAGTTGTCCTATGATTTATGACTCCACCCTTGCGGTTAGTAGTATATATTTTATTTCCCTCTATTAAGTAAGTAAAAATTTGCTTGTGTGCAAAACAAAAAACCACCCATGTGCTGCTAGCTATCAGATTGGAATCTTATATTGTCTCCTCATTTATGACATTAACCATAATCACTTTGATGTTAATGAATAATGTTCTTCAGTGCTTTCTTTAAGTCAACAAGTTCACTTATAAAGGCCTAATCCTGAAAGGTGAAATGAAAATACAAAAAAGTGCTTTCCAGGTGAAAAATGCTATATGGCATTAGGTCAACTTGCAGTGTACATGATCCCATCAATTTTGAAGGAGAAAAATAGAGTGAAGTGAAGAGGTACTGTCTTTTTTTTCAATTTTCACGATTTGAATTTTTTTACAAAATATTTCCCATTTAAATAAAACTTTTTGTAAACAGAACTTTTCACAAGAACAGTTGACTATTAAAGATCTTGTTGCAACAATGTTCTATCACTATATATAACACAACTGTCATCCAGATTATTTTCAGAAATATTGCTATAATGTTTCACTCACCAAAAAACAAAACAAAAAACCAGTTTTGTTTAAACGAAAAACGTTGGTAAGGATTTTACTGAATCTTTATCAAATAATTCTTTTAAGTAATATTGAAGAAAAACATTACCAGAAGTGGAAAATGTATTCATTTCGCACATACAAAGTAAAACAAGAAAATAAATATTAATTTTTTCTTCTGTTTATTGACCAGCTCCATGTTGTTATATCTTAATATTTTAAAACTGCTGATTTTGTTTAGCATGAGTGGTACTTCATTCTTTAGATAAAAGTAATTTAAGTATGTTTGGTGTGGGGTTTTTTGTAGCTATTTTGTGACTTTTGGATATCTTATGAAAATTATGAAAGTGTTCAAGTTGTAAAATAGCATTGGCATTACTGTACTGGTGGCCTTGAATTGATTTCATTGCAGTTAACATGACACTAATTTTGAGATTCTAAGACTATGAGAAATGTTTTAATGCAGTCTGAATATGTATTGAGCTCTTTAATAGTTCAGTGGCAGACTGTCTATGAAACATAAGACTCTTAATATTTAGGCAGCTCACATTGAAAAATGCTCCAATTTATTCATGCTCTTCTGAAATATTTCTCTGTACTGACACTACTAATAGTTGTTTTAAGGCTGAAACCTACTAAGTGATGCAAGTTGCATTTTCATTTAAATGAAAAAATCTGGCTTTTGGGTATGCCTATACAAAATCTTTTTCACTTGGAGTTCTAGTGAGAGCTAGTGTGCATGTTGGAGGGCAAAATTGTCTGCTGTTTTTATAATATACTTTCTAGCTTATTTAATAAGTATTTAAAAAAAAAAAAAAAAAGCACTAGACTAAATTTTGAAAGCAGCTGCTACTAAGATAAGTGCCTGCTAATTAAAGTAGACCCTCTGGAGTATAGGAAGCACGGTTCACTAGACTGGGAGTCGGGGAAACCAGTTCCATTCTTGATTGTGCCAATATCCCACTGTGATCATGGGCAAATCACTTCAGCAGTCTGTTCCTCTTTCCGTCCTTGTCCTGTGTCTATCTTTTTTTTTTTTTTTTAATTTTAAACTAAGTTCTTCAGGGAAGAGCCTGCCTCACGGTGCATGCATGTACAGCTCAGTCATGGTTGAAACTTCTTGTGGCTGCCATAGCACAAATAATAGCCTCTCGTGTTACTGCGCACAGTGGCAAGTGTTCACCACAGTGGATCAAGAGTTTTTGATGCAGATGCTGTATATCTTGTCTAAGATACAATATCACTTCAATTTTCAGGTATAGGATTGCTGCTGGTAAACAGAACAAACGAAGACCATGACTTGCTTTTGACTTCTGCAGCACCAGACATTCAATGGAGCCATTCCTTATTTGTCTTGATACCCTCATGGACAAAGAAGATTTTGTTCAAACGAGAGTCTTCCATTAATCAGCAGTTGGTCAGTAAGAGATGATTTAAGTATTGTTTCCTTTATGTAAGGAACATAAAAGCTTTCTACTGTCCTAATTAGTATATGGTTTCTAACTGTCTCAGATGATTACATTCACCTTGGATAGTTTCAGCAGCAGCATCCTAGATGCAAGATCTCCTTATAATGACAAGAAGAGTCTTGTGTCTGCCTTAAATTCTGAAATTCAAGTAGAAAACACATGTACAATGTGATGCATTTACTTCCTTACATGGTGTGTTTTTTTTGTCATGGAAAGGTGGTCACCAAATGATGAGCATGTCACGTTGTCTAATAATAAACTATCTGCTCCCTCATAATTATTTAGACTTGTGCAAATAAAAAATCATTGTTGGGACAGTAGAGCTTTCAGATACTAAGGTTGTGAGTAGATTTAACTCCTTTTTCTCAGTCTTTATTATAGTACTTAAATTGTATTTATAGTTTGTGAATTGCTACATGTCAATGTACTACATATTTTTTTTTTCTTTTTTTTTTTTTTTTTTTCTCCTCTTCAGCCTGAAGATGTGCCAAGAACTTCTGTCTCTTCTGGGTATGGAGTAACTTTTCAGAAATGTGCGGTGGTAAGTCTCACTATATTTTTTTTTTCTGTTCATCTAAGAACAAATTGAGATCCAAGCCTCGTAAGCAGGTTTTTTGTCCAGAGTGTGTGTGCACATGTTTGTTTGTTTAATCTGCACTCGAATCTCCCATCATTAGATGTAGTTTATGGTAATGGGCCAAGGCCCACCTAGGGCAGATCCAGACCCCAGCTGGAAGAAATTCAGGAAAGAGAGCCAATATCCCTCTCCTTGATTTATAACCTCAGATTGGACAGTGGATTGCCTCGCTGTGCCTCTGGAACTCCTAAACCAGACTTTGTTCTCTGAACCTCTGGTTTGAACCCTCTTGCCTGTTCGTTTGTGCTCTTGTTCCTATCTTGGATCTCCCAGCTTGCCCTGACCACAGCCTTACCTTCACTTAATATCCAGAAGCAGGCCTGACTTTTTTTTGGACCTTGACTTCTATTCTGGTAAATCTGTGACCTGGCGTGATCTACTTACATTGTGACCACCTATGCCCAAGTCAACCCCTTACATCTTACACCTGTATAGGTATGCTCATTCAGGGTACATCTGGTATCTGTACACCCAACCCTATTGGTAGTATTTGATGAGTTAGCAATACACTTGGTCTGTTTGCTGTGCTGACCAAAATGTTGTCAACCTCTGATCTGTGGCCGATTTTTAATAAGAAGCTGATTTATCATGTGTATAGGCACTTCATCATCAAGCTCTGGGTTGCCTCTTGGGCACTGGGCTGCTTTATCATCTATCTGCCACAATGATTTCCTTTATTGAGGTTATGGTAGATCATAAACACATATACCTTGCCATAGAAATCTTTATTCACTGTGGCCTCAGTGTGAAGATTCTCTGATGCTTCAGCTAGACAGTGGGCACTAATTGCTTGTTGTCTGTTTCAATGGAGGAAGATTGCTCAGTCATAAAATCATAAATGTTCACATGATTCCCCAAGCTTTTTTTCTTCTATTCCTGCAAAGTGTGGGGTTTTCTTTTTTTTTTTTTCTGTCCTCTGTACTACTCACAGTTTGCATGCTATACATTTTTGCTTCCATCTTTTTGGTTTTGATGTATGCCAGCTCCTAGCTTTAAGATGATCTATCAGGTGAGAGGTTGGCTGGCTGGCTTCCTTGAGCTGACCACAGTGAAATAAGGAATAAAGCAAAAGATTTTCAGGTTCTCATGGATTACACTCTTCTGTACAGGTCCACTTGCATTCAGCCATTCTGAGTACTACTTTCCTAAGAAGTTGACCATTCTAATATAATAAAAGCCTCAATCTGTCTGTCGGCCCATAATGGTTTATTCACATACTGATTGGTTTTCTTGGCAGCCAATTACAATGACTGAAACAACCAATCTGAGTGCTGTGTACAGATAGACACACACAGCTGAGTGCTGCCATGACAGTGGGGACTGAGGGGCCTGGCCCTGCTCCTTTGGGGGGGGGGGG